GAGCTTCATTGATAAATCTGCTTAGGTATAAGAGGGTCACTTTTCAACCAATGTGGGGCGCCAAAGTTATCCAGTTTTGTTTAATTAATACCAAAATTAGACGCTTCCAGCAAATCATACATTTGTGTTCATCTGTCTATGCCAGTGACATATACTGACAGGAAGAAAAATTAAACGGTCTCCCACTAGATGGCAATGAACCTGTGTTTCTACTTCTTGTGGTGGGTGTACCATGAGATTTTTTTTTCTGATATAAAATATTTGCCTTGGCCTAGTAAATGCTGGTAAACATGAGACACGGCAAAATTAGATCCTCATGTTTTGCCTGTTGCTTGGCAAAATTTGCAAAATAAAAAAGACATTGTAATGAACTACAAAGGCCTGTGGAATCTGCGCTCAATAAATAACGTTGAGCTGATCTAATGAACTGCAGAATGAACGATTAATTTGTCACTGGGTCATTAAGCTGTAATAAATAGAAAAAACATTTCACAAAGGCAAAATGTCTGTTCTTCAAAGATTGATGGAGTTCATTAATTGGCTGAAAATGTTTCTCAATTTAAGGTGACGTGTATACTGACAAAAACATAAAAATACCCAAGTTGAGTCCAAAAACAAAAATGCCAGACAAATTGTGATCAGTACCATCTGCTTCACAATAGTGAACGAAAGCCTTGATAAAAGCACACCAAAATATGAAGGAAAAACTCTCCATATGATGCAGTGCAGATGTACTGTATACAATTGTAAATGACAACTACAATGAGTGTGCCCATTGACGTCATATTTGTAAAGGCAGATTTATTTTTGAATATATACTCTAGCTCATATACAGGAACTCATTAGAGTGCCCATAACAATTCAAGCCAGGCCACCGGGAGTCATCAGTTGCGATTGGAGGCCGCTGGGTGCTTGTGACGGCCGCAATGTTGCCACACGTCAACTCTCCACACCCCCCACTCCCAAACAGTTTCCCTCTCATTTGTGGGACTGCAGACACATTGATTTCCTCTCTTGTGTTCCGACGAGGCTAAATTGGAAGCGTGACATCAATAACAACGAAGTGAAGATGTGTTTTGTTCCTCTAACATTGCACCTTGTGAGTCACATTTGCTATTCCTGTATAACGCAGGTGACGGATGGTTTTGTGCGTACCTATTGATGCAATCATTGATGTTTTAATATATTCATATTTAACCCTTTCAGGGATAGCGGTTACTGCAGTGGACAGCTTATCATGCTGTCAGGTTACAGGGTGCATGAAAGGGTTAATAATAACGCATCAGATTTATAAATATTAACAATCAAGCCGATGCAGCAGCAACATACAGCAGTGGCACGACATAACCGACTTCAAAGTTTTTCAAGATCAGACGGTTTTAAAATTTCTTTTTTGGGCAAAAAATTGACATATGAGGGATGTCCAGCGGCAGCGAATTCAGCTAACTTCACAACAAGCAAAGGAATGGTAGACAGTGATTGAAACCTCAAAAAAGAGGCTTCAAGCTATTTAATACCATCTCGGTTGACGTCTGCTGTCAAACCAAACATAAAACAAAAGTTCCCTTTACACAATCAGTATTTTTTTTCATTACTTTTTTAAACTTTTTTATCTGTATTTCCAGACTCCAGCCCATTCCAGTGAGCTTCTGGCCAGCAGATTTGAGGCTATCAGTGATTTGTCTGTCCTGGTCTATTGTCGTGTAATTGAGTACTGCAACTGCTTGAATTGTCAGTTTTATGATGTCTCACCTATTCGGTTCTTATTTCTGCCATCGTGATTTTAAAGTTTTATGTGTCTCACTGTGCCACTTTAGAAACCTGCCTTGGGACTAAGGCTGAAAATTAGCACTTATGCTCAATCCGGCGCATTTGCACTGTTTATTGCACTGTCCCAATGAAATGAATGAATTAATAAATAAAAATAAAAATATTTGGGAGCTGATCAATGAGTTAAAAAAAAAAAGAAAGCTGATCACCGATCCATTCATAAGATGAACGAATCGAATAACTTCCACTATCTTCATGCTAAAAGCCATGCATGGGCGAACAAACAGCATGTACTGTATGTAGCGGCTTTATAATTCTTCAAGCAATGGATATTTGAACACAACTGGTGCAGCAACATGCATAGACAGACATCAATACTTAAAGGCATACTGTGGTCTTTTTTATCCTCTTCAAGAAATGACTAATATTACTGCCGGATTGAGTCAGTAACAGTAGCTGAGTAAAGCTCATTTTTGTTTGTCTGCATGATGATGTTATACAGCCGCCTGGTGGCCAAGTCGCGCACACCCAAAGGAGGCACAATGAATTAATCAGCACACACGAACAATTTAATTCTTTACATTCTATTCAATTATATTATTAGAACTATGTTTTTCTAGACACCATTATAGAGTGCAGGTGAATACCCCAGGTCACACGATGAGCGCACGTGGTCAAGTACATATTGGCAGAAAGAGAAGTGGCGCCTTGTGCTGCATGTGGTGGGTGTATGCAGTACTTACGCACACAGGAAGCCCATGAGTGATGACATATGTGCACGACTCCATGACTCATGTCCTTGTAGTGACAAGGGGGCTCGTAAAGCCCTCGCTTACGTGGCTTGGACACGTCACAAAAACAATCTGCCTAGACATCGCCGGTTGTGGCATATGGCGCCTGTCTGTTCGCATCGACAAGGCACGCTGCTATCTGCCATGTGTGCGGTTTGATACAGCTCTTTGTCGTGGATTGTCTTCGATTGCGCAGCCGTACGTAACGGACCGCATTGGTACAAGTCGGAATTGATTGTGTGGAATTGATGGTTGGTTGTGAAGGACTTGGAGGAAAATGGCGCGTACGGCTTGGCTGCAACCAGCAAAGGAGCTGACTCTTATCATGTCTCAAATAGTTTGCTGTGGAAAGAAGCCCAACATGACGTCAGCTTGAAGAAGTTGAGCTACTGCAAGTCTGCTATAGTGCAACTCCAGGCTATTTATCTGCTCAGTGGAACACTGACGTTCTGGAAAGCGGAACGTCCAAGTTTTTAAATTGTCTCATCTTAGAACATACATCACACAATCCATTCATTTGGTATCTTGTCAAAGGACCCTTGAAAGCATAAATTCCATTCAGAACATTCACTCCTCAAAAAAATCAAATGATAGGCACACTGAGGTTGATTTCCTTTCTGCTGCGCATTGAAGACATTTTCGTTTGACATCAAAAGATGAATACGACACAAGAAATACAAGTTGAAGCTTTAATTTCCCTTTTGGAAGGCGCACAACCCATCTTGGGAGATAGCACCTTGTGTTTCAGCCCACTCATTTTTCACACAAAGAGGTGTGTTTTGTTACCCGGGTCCTATCACAGTGATCTTTCTATGCTCAGTTTCAGATTTTTTTTTTTTTTTTTTTTTTGGAAGACAACCTTTGTACTACTTAAAGTTAATCAGAAAATGTGAAAGCCCATATATTTTCAGTCAACAGTAATAAAGGAATCAGGCTCACTGTTTGTTTGTTTGTTTGTTTGTTTATTGAACATATATAAAACATACAATAACATGACAAAATGCAAACAAAAATTATGAAAGGAAAATAAAAGTAAAAGTAAGTAATACAAACATCATCACAGTTATATGTTCAAAGGAGTAGGAAGAAGTATACAACTTATCTAGTCCTACCCCTTGTTGTGCAATAATGTATATTGATCATTTCCAATACCAAAGAAAAAGAAGAAATCTAAATTTCATCAAATACTTTTACCCTTTTGTGTACTATGCTTATCTATTGATACACCTTTCGGTTTGTATATATGTATCATTATTCTTTCGACTTTTTATATCAAATGACTCATATTCATTATATATACTACATTTCTTGAATACATTCAATAAGTTGTTCAAAATCTTTTGGTGAGCAGGGTAGGTAAAAGTATGATGTCGGGTAATTGTTAAACTGAAGCTTTGTTTAACATCCAGTTGTAGTGATAAAAAAAAAGACTACTAGTACTACAATAGTAATCGTGTATTGCTACTTCTCATTCCCCCAAATTTTAACAAATTTAATTCATGGCATAAAAAAAGTAAAAATATCATACAGAGAATAATAACTGACCTGAATTATTTTGGTCAGCCGTTCTGGATGTCCCAAAGGTCACGACAACCTCTTCATTTTTCATTCCAGGTATCATTCAGACAGATGTGAGAGCATCAGCACTTGACAGCTTAGGCTTTGCAGTTTTTGTAAGCATATCATTCCCCTGGCCATGGCTCATTGGAGCGGCGTTGCAAAATTCTCTGCTGGCAAGAAATTTTTCTGTCCCTGACTGCAGTTTAGTGCCAGTTTGAGAAGCTTTGAGGCTTCGAGTGGAAGATTATGACATTCAACAACCTGCAGTCGGTACGGGTAAAGCTTTCTCACTCTCCGAGGCATCCACAGAATTGAGATTTTTGTTGGTGCCGACGTCCAGCGCAGCCCTCTGGATAAACTTTCCCTCGCTTTGCATGAACGCCTTTCCGAGGAGTTTGGTGAAACCGATCCTTTTTTCCAGACACTTGCCATGGATAGCATACATTGTATTACTTGCTTCTCAAACTTATGCTAAACTGCAGTCGGGAACTTCAAACCCAAAACTGTCAAATGCGAACGGTCTTACGTTTGTCCGAATGAGAGTTGGAATGAAATGGAAAAAAGGAAATGGACAACATTGTGACTTTTGGGACACACTGCATTGAAAAATAAGCAGTAATTTGTCTTTGCTCTGGTGTCATAATACTTGAACAAATGACAACAGGAAATGTAGTGAAGGAAAGTAGACACGTACATAATAGAAGAGTGCTAAAGATCATGTAAAACTAAAATACAGCTCATTGTGAAGAATGTACATCAAACGAATAACTACATTGGTACAGGTAAAGCCTTGCAATGTGGCTGTTCTTAAAGGAGTCGGAAGCTCCTCACTCGTGTGTGTGTGTGTGTGTGTGTGTGTGTGTGTGTGTGTGTGTGTGTGTGTGTGTTTTGAAACATTGTTTATTTTTACTTCCACTTTGAAGTTGCTGTTCATTTCCTTCCCTCCAAAGCAAAATATGACGTGCTTCTCAGCCGTTTCTTGTGCAACGTAGATAATATGTAACATTTGGTGATAGCGTGTTGTAAAGGCACCTCAGTCATGTGGGTCACGGCCATGTTGGCGAAACAATGACAAAGATGAATGACGAGCATGCTCAATCACGCACATACTCACCAACGTGCATTGTGTGCATAGTTTAGACAGCCCGGTAATTCAGGAAGTGTTAAAAAAAACAAAAAAAAAAACACGCCGGTCCAGTTTTTTTGAAAACCCGCCCAGCTGCTATCAAGGTACTCCTGCTTACAAGTGGGAGAAATGTTTGGCTGCGGGACAGAAGTAGACAAGAGAATCTCTGTTACCTGCTCTGCGCTTTGTTTTGGAGGGCGAGTTAGCCAGACCGTAGCAGCACACTCATTTTCTTCCTGGATCGGACCCAAACAGAGACAAGAAGAAGAGTGGATTAGCTTTAATCCAATCAGGCTTTCTCATGACGCGGGGACCCTGCTGATTACACCTGCAGCATCAAGGACGAAACGGTCCCTGCCTCTTCTATGTGGAATCCAACGTGGCTGCTAAGGAGTTCAGGAGTAACCCGCCGCTGAATCTGAGGGACAAGAAGCTAATGAGTGACTCCGTTTTGTGGCTATGTTGATGATAACTAGATTAGATGTAGATTATGCCGCTCTGCTTTGGGAGTCGAAGGCGAAATCGACACCAATGGAGTGAAAAGGACCCCTTGCTTGATAACGAACCGTACAGCATTCCCAATCCCTACTTCCTGGACACAGGTAAAACAAAACAAAATAAAACAACAGTTCAACATCAGCATCCAGGTCTTCCTGGTCCATTTAAATCGACCTACATACAAACTATGTCCGTTCAGCCAACCTTGCCTGCATACATCCGCGCAATCTGCACCGAAACCTAAGACGGGCTTCTTGAACCCTCTTGGAATGTTTTTAATTGTCGTCATTCAGTCTGCTGATAACACACAAGCGAGCACACAAAGGCGCTTACTGTAGTGAAGCCTCCGCCGCTGGAGCGTCTCATTCCTCAGAACCTCACCAATCAAATCATCACGTTGAAACGTCAACAAAAAAAGAAAAAAATAGACTTCGGTGTGGAATGTTGTTTTGATGCTCACGTAGTTGAACCGGATTTCCTACTGTGACATTTAATTGTGAATAACTCCCACAAAATCATCGCCAGCGTGTCACCGTGTTGCTCTGATGCAATTTGCATGTGAGGGATTTCCCTCAAACTTTTTTCAACACCAAACTGACTTGATCAATGTGAACAGTTTCTGTGGACACTTATTAAAAAAATCAATCGTGTGTTGACATCAACCTTTGTAGGTGGTTCTCGGTTTACAACAGAGTTCTGTCCTACGTTTGCCCGCCACCCCATGGAGCGTCGTTTATAATTTGCATGTGCTTGTTTTTGTGCCTTTAAAATTTTCTGGTGCACAATGGGGCACGTGGTTAGCTCATCTGCCTCACAGTTCGGAGTTTCTTATTTTGTGCTTCTTCTGCGAAGTTTGTATTTTCTCTGGGTACACAATCGACCTCCCCCATTCCATTCTTGCAAGTTAGCATCACTGAAGACTCAAAATTTTGTTAATGTGTGAATGGGATTTCGATTTTATTTATTTGTTTCATGGTGGCACGGTGGTTGATTGGCTAGCACGTCGGCCTCACAGTGCAGAGGTGCAGGGTTCGATTCCGGCTGCGGTCTTCCTGCGTGGAGTTTGCATGTTCTCCCCATGCCTGCGTGGGTTTTCTCTGGGTATTCCGGCGTCCTCCCACATTCCAAAAACATGCTTGGCAAATTAATGGAACACTAAATTGTCACTAGGTGTGAAAGTGAGCGTAGATGGTTGTTCGTCTCTGTGTGCCCTGCGATTGACTGACAACCAGTCCAGGTTGTACCCAACCTGCGATAGGCTCCATCTCTCCCATACTCCAAATTAGGACAACCACTATAGAAAACGGCTGCATAGACATTCTAATAATTTTAATTAGGTCAATCTGAGTTCATCGTGCCATTTTCTCTAAAATCAGCCCAACACACCCTTGTTCATTAGTGCTTTGTTTTTTGCTGGATTCTTCCATTAAAGATAAGTTGATCATTGATCACATCAATGCCAGTGTCTGCTGTGACATATAAACATAATATTTGTCCACAATCGATTTCAACACACAGGATGGGAGGAATAAGTGTGAGGTGATAAATTATGCACAACTCTTGTAGTATTGTGGAATACCTTCTGCTTCAGATACTGCTTGCATTGCTAGCACAAGTGCTGGATCATTTCTTACCCACATTCTCTGTAAAATGCAGACCTTTACAGGCAGTGTAAATATGACTTATTTTGCTTTTTTGCTAGCTCTTGCCATTTTGTCATCATTTGGAGGAAAGGGTGAGATTTCAGTCAGCTTGCTCCAGTGATGCCATTAGATTGTCTCTTTCTGGTCACAAGGGGGCAGTGCTCCTGCTTCAACCACACTGCCAGTTTCACGCAAATGTTGACTCTTTTTGTGCAAAACTCCACCTGGTTTGATTAATAGATCATCAAACATTACACTGTGCTACTTCTAACTTCTACTTCTAATAGTCCCCCCCCCCATATTGTTGATTTTAATGTTTTATGATATTGAAATGAGCAGTTCTGTGGAGAAAACAGAACATTTCCCCACCAAAAAATAGCTTCTTCGCTTCCCACGCAGTGTGTGGGCTATGTAGTGGCACCAACTACATGTGTATACGAGTCTGTGCAGTTGTAGCTAAACAATTTCTTCTGACTGAACTGCCGAAATATGAAAGAATGACAACATGCCTGTGTCTTTGTATCTGTGTCCCTTTATATCCTTTTAAAAATGCCAAAGTATCCCCCCCATGTTGTGTTGCTGCATATGGCCGGAACACGGTCTCCTTTCGCTGCTGATTCAGATTGTAGCCTTTGTTTATTCCAGCAGTGTGTGTGTGTGTGTGTGTGTGTGTGTGTGTGTGTGTGTGTGTGTGTGTGTGTGTGTGTGTGTTTAATGTGTGTGTGTGTGTGTGTGTTTAATCAGCTCCCAATTCCATGTTTGTCTATTCATGTTTCCGAGAGTTGCTGGAGGATCAGCAGCTCTGAGGAAAGAGCCACGGGGTCTTGTGGGTTCCACTCCTTGTTTTCCATGTGTTCCTAGGGGTTGCATGGCTCTGCTTGAAAGTTCAGAGACTCACACTCCCTCAGCACAGAGATTAAAGGGGCTTGTCTGCAGCACTTGCAACAAGAGCTGTTCACAGTTCGCAACTTGCCCAAGAGGAGGGATGAGTTGTTTTTTGCAGCTTTTGCAGTCGTGACTTTGGCAACTGTGTGGAAGTCTTGTTTGTTTTTTTGTTTTTTTCTTCTTCTTAAGTTTTCTGGTTTGTACTCCCACCAAGTAGAACAAAGTCTCTTTAGGACGCGGCGGCCGTCCAAGTGCTGGTACGAGGATGCAGGTGGCAGCGAGGCTCTGCTCCGACTTGTTTGAAGTTTGCTCTCGTGTCAAAGGTGAAGGATTATGTCTGGAACTGGAATTTGGTCTTCAAATTGAGGAATGCCAAAACTTCCTGGCAGCATGTGAGTCCTTTTGTCTGTAGTGTGTGAATCAGTTTGGGTACAGTGCCATGCTATTCCTCAGCAGTGGGACAGCGGATGCTACAGTTGGCCATCAGCAGCAGGGGAAAACCACTTACCACACCTCTGGAACATTAAAGGAGACGCAGGGATATGACCCTGTCCCCAAGCTAGGAATGGGCTGGGTGACACCCTGCACCCTGGTGGACGGTTGCAAGCCAGGAGACCAAATCATGGAGAACAGTCCCATCCTCGACAGGTGGCCATCCCTGAGAGCAGGAAGTCTACGCCAAGACGTGGTGGTGGAGGAGAATGAGGAGGAGGAGGAGGAAGAGGTGGAGGTGGAGAGAAAAATGAGGAGTGACGGGTTTATGAGACATCCCTCCGAGAGCTCAGGTAACTCCTCAGAGATCATCGAGACAGACGCCCGGACCTCGCACAAGTACCGCGTCAGTGTCCACGCCAGAATACTGTCATTTAGTGGAAATGGCACCGTCACAGGGCACACGCTGCCTCGGGCTGTACCGCGCAGATCCCGTCAGGATGAGGCCTCACTCGGCAGGAGGAGCATGAGCATGTATGGCGAACCGGCGGAGCAGCAAAGTGAGCCCGAACCGGTTCGACTCCGGAGGCCAAGGAGCGTGTGCATGCTTTCGGGCCCCGGCCCGGTCCTCGTGGAGCAGGGCAAGCAAAACTCCCTGAAAAGGACAGGCGTAGTGGAGGGTAGTCAGCTGTACAGGACCAGAAAGGCTGAGCTGAGGGTCGTGGATGGTCTCAATCCGGTTGTGGTTCACCAAGCCCCGGTTCCTGCTGAGGTAATCCCCAGGGAGCGCCACAGAAGCGTGAAGACCAGGCCTCTTAGTATGACTGTACTGGAGCTCAGGAAAAGGGCCTCTGACGACGACGTAAGCAGGCAGCAGAGCCACACAGGCCACGATGGTGGAAACTTCCTGAAAGGAGCCTTCCGTTGGAGGTTATTTGGTAAAAGCTCTCCCGATAAGAACAAGGACAGCGATGGTGACAAATGTGCGAAGTCGGCTTTAAAGTTCGTCAAATCGGATGCTCCGAAAAGCACGCTGAGCTCATTGAGACGGAGCTTGAGTATGCGCATCCGGAGGACTCGGCCTCGGGACAAGGTGACTCCAGCGTGTGAGGGGGCTACAAGGGAACTCTCTCAAGCCAAAACTGCTGACACCATGCCTCCTCAGCCTTTCTCGTACCTCACGGGGAGAACTCTGCCATCTTCCGGTGGGCAGGTCGTAGACGGGGGTATGCAGTACATTCCGTACCGCAGCAGGGGCAAGGTCAAGGTGATGGAGGTACCCATGTGCCCGACCAAATTGACCAAACCGGCTCAGGGGGAGCCCAGCATTTGGCAGCTCATAGCCAACCGCTTCAGGAGGAAAGAGCAGCTGGTCAAATGCGAATCGAAAGACGAAGACCAGCATGCGATGACTCTGAATAATAAGTCACTCCCTGTCGCCATAGAGACCCTGGCAGACACAGAGTCTCATAAAGGTCAAGGTAAGACCTGCAAGACTTTAGTTCTTCACTCAGTGTGCTCTATTCACATGCCCCCCCCCCATCTCCCCCAGTTGCTGTAAAGAAAGTCTCAAGTGCACTTGAAAAAAAAAATAGGACAGGCAAATGAAAAACACATGGGGAATTTGGGGTTTGGGTGGCATTCAAAAACATGTGGAGTGCTTTCGGAATTTCTATTTTTGGGTCCATTTCCGTCCCTTCACTACAACTTTGCCTCACAGTCAGTTTCTTAATGTCTGATCCATATGACGGCAAAATGAATTGTCTTACGCCACTACAACTTTGCCTCACAGTCAGTTTCTTAATGTTTGATCCATATGACGGTGTCTTACGATCTCACGGTTGTTTGAGGCTGATGAATCTCTTTTTTTTTTCGATGCCCCAGACAAAGAAAAGTCTCTAAGTTGGCCTTTCAAAGACACGAGCCTACACTAGCCGCATTAAGAGTCCGTGGCTGTATTAGGGATGCTCTTGGCAGGCTAATGCAGCTAAATTGAGATGACTAGGGCAGAGGTGGAGAAGGCTTATTAAGCCGTGGTGTGTAAAGGTTAACTCTTAACAGTGTTCTGTTCAGCACTTTTGGTCTTGTCACACCACAGGGTTTCCAAACCATTCATGCAAACGTTTTGTTTGCGTGAATGCTTCCCTCAAAAATATGTCATAATACAAAATAATAAAAAAATTAAAAAGAATTATCCATTGCCTTTTGTGTGAACCCACATGACATTCTTCAGGGTTTCATTTACCTTTATTAGATGCTGATTAAAAAACAACTTGTTGAGACCGAGAGTGAACATATCCCAGCTCATTGCCTTTGGCAGGAAATTGTACAACACTCTCGTGATTACAAAGCTCTTCATGAACCAGGATTGGGGGGTGTGGGGGGGTAAAGAGTGAAATTGTCAATTCTACTAATTACACACTGCCTTGTTTAAAATGGTACAAAATTATCATCTACACTTTGATTTGCCTCTGATTATGATCATTTTTTTAAACTCCAATGGCGAGCTAACTTTTTGCCATAAGGTAGCTATCCGGTGTTTCATAATCACAAGTACAAAAATGTGACTTTTTTTCCAAGTTAACCCCAGAAAAGTCACAGTTATGCGGATTAAGCCAACCAAAATTCTTCATTAACCTTGATTAGCCACAATAAAAAGTTCCAATCCGAATGTAGTACACACTTAAACTGAGAAACTGTTTATGCGCCTGCATCAGTGCTCCTGTTTCGGTGTGCAATAGAGTTCAAATGAAGTGAAGTTGGCGTTTGGGTGGCAGTTAACACTTAGCTGCCTGCATGTAAACACTAACGTCGACGAAGTGTACCCTTACTTCCCCTGATCTAAACGGAACAGGTCCATCAGGTGGTGTTTTTCTCTGCTGAGTCGAACACTGTGCAGTGGTACCTCTACTTACGAAATTAATTGGTTCCGGAAGAAATTTTTTGACTGGAAAATTTTGGAAGTAGAGACACGTTTTCCATTTAATGCCCTAATCCGTTCCAAATCCCCCAAAATTCAGACATAAATGTTTTCTAAAGCATTAAAATGCATCAAAATATGTAACAAATACATGTTACAATTTAGATTTTTTTATTTATATATATATATATATATATATATAAAATATTATATTTATATTTATTTATATACTTTTTGTCTTCTACTTTCTCCCCTTTCACAATTTTGCTGCTGTAAATTGGGAATTTCTCCAAATAAAGGTTTTCGTATCTTATCTTAAAAATTATGGTCATTTAACTTTGAACTGCGTCCTCATCGTTATTTGCCCTCTTTTGTGCATGTTCTCTCTCAGAAGTGGTTTTTGCCTGGCGTTTTGTAAACAACTGAGCAAAGGACGTCTGCTTTTGTCGTCTTTTAACAATCCTTCGAAAATGTCCAAGGCAAACATCAGCAAAGTGAGCGATCGCCCAACTGGTGAACAGTTTTTCTGGGGATTCACATTTACGTAAAACTATCGGAACACCTCAAGGCCCGAAAGGCGAATGACGAGGATGCTGCATAAACACACATCTACCTATCGACATACAGACGCATACGGTAGAAGTCCTTCTAAGCCAATGTTATGCCAGGATAATGCTCGGGAATAGCCAATGGCAGAGCAGCTATAAGTATGTTGCGTTCAGGAAACTCCGAGCTGCGAGTAGCAGCCCATACTTATATTTTTACCTTTCGTATCTTGAAAATTATTTCGTAACAAGAGGCAAAATTTCCCTTTTGAGGCGTTTCGTAACTTGAAAATTTTGTATGAAGAGACGTTCGTAAATAGAGGTACCACTGTAATTGAAACAGGCGAGAAAGGACTGTATGTCTGGAGATTCTCAATCATCCAGGGTCATGGTTATCTCCAAAGATTGTACTGAGGCAGAGGTAACAACATGTCTTCAATAAACAAGAAAAATCCTGTGGCCTTGATTCAAACATTGCAGATTTGGAGAGAGGTTCTCCCATCCCATAAAGACAAATAATTGCAAAGAAATCTGTCAAATGCATACATTTTTGCTTAATTTTGTCATCAAGCGCACTCAGGTACACTTCTTGTGTTCAGTGTAGAAGGGGCAGCTAAAGGCTTTTTGTCCCCAGCTCAATATTGACTTTCGCTACGTTCCACGAAAAGGAACAGGCAGCTGCAATAAAAATTTCACAATTAAATCTCCACTATAGCCTCAGTATGTGCCCTAGTTTATGTGTTTTGTATCCACTGTCAATGGGTAGGTCGACCTTTGAACCGGCAAAGGTGATACTTTATGCTGTCGAATTGCGTCCTAAGGTCGGCCGCCGTCCGTCCTCCGCTGCTTTTGTGTTGTCACCGGTTACCTCGGAGACGTCTCAGCGAGTGCGGCCAGGTCCTGCTGTATTTGTCCGTTCTAATCCCCGAGTGCGAGGCAGTCAGGCGTTAGGAATGTAGGTGCGCCTGGTGAGTGCTCGCTGCCCTGGGTGGGACTCGCTGCCTGTCGCTACCTGCCTAAAGTGCTTGCCGCCTAATTAGATCCATAAAGCTGAAACACCCCCGCTCCCTCCCAAAACCCCCAAACCATGACAACTAAGCACACCTGAGTGGAAGTGTTTCCTTGTGACGATCCTGTACACCCCTGCAAGGTTTGCATGGGGGGGGATGGGATAGTGAGGGATTTGAGGTGTTCCAACAATGCCCACCGAACATCCCATCACCCCCCACGCCCCACCTGTGGATACACAAAGCTTCTCCGTTGTGTGGACGTTTGTTTGTGTGATCAGTGTGGGGTGATTCAAGTGTTGGGAGGAGTTGAGGTGTTGAAATGGCAGGAACGGGCCTCCAAACTGCAAAGTATAACATGCATGGTTCTTATTTTGACTTGCTGGAGCCCATTAGACGAGGAGTGCACTGATCGATATGCCGGGATCGGAATTTGGGACGATTACTTTCATTTCCGAGGGATTGGGTGATCGGCCAATCTCTGAAAATAAAACCGATCTTGTCCACCGGTCTCATCTCCCTGCGCAGAGGTCTGAAAAAGTCACCCACTGTCCCCTTCTGCTGTGAAATGACGAAAAGTCTTCTCACTACTTCATGTGCAATTAAAACAATCTGTTTGTATTGATTGCCAGGTATTGTTCAGTGTTTTACATTCCAACAAAATTGGAACATTGAAGGCGTATGCTATTGGTTGTGGGAAAAAAAAAATTGGGATCGGCAGTTCATGCTTTTTAAGAATCCGTGATTAGTCACAAAATTGTGATGACTGCGCCACTACATTAGACGGCTAAATAAAATAAACTGCCTCGCCGGGATTGGAACAACTCATGACGACAGAGATTTTTAATCTCGTGCATTAGTTGAGTTCGATGTGGACTGAACGCAGCAGAGTTCTTGGTTTTGAACGAAGCGCAATTAGGTTAGCATGCTCGTTAATGCTATTGATGAGCATCATTTGTAGGTGTTTTGTTTGTGTTCAGTAATTGATCTGCTGAGTGCAGTTGTGTATGTGATATGGATTCACTGCTGTTTGCGTGCGACGTGCATGGTGTTGACGCCCTGTTAAGTGTTTTGGATCCATACTGTGTCATCTGTAAGCAGTTAGAAACCCTGGCACAAGAAGGCATATTCTGTTGCCGCCATACTTATCGTTATTTATTTGATTATTTTTAGAAAAAAAAATCGGTCCTGTTTTTTTAATGCAAATATTCCCTCCGTAAATGTTGCGTTAGCAGAGGTCAATGATAGACTGAGGCACGTTAGGACCGTGGTGCTCCTCTGTGCATCTTTAATCTCCGTCAACAGCCGGCATTTTCCTTTTTAAGTTTTTCCATCACGTTTTCCAGCAGTTTGCTCAATAGCCGTTTTGGGCAGGCGGAAATGGGAGTTAAATCAGACACTAATCCCCTCGAACCCCACAAATTGATTCAATCAACCGGGGCATTGTAGCGCCAGACTCCATCTGCACATTTAAGTAGGGGCTCCCGGTTGAAACGTCACGTGTCGTTTAGCTGGGTGGAAGTTATCACCGTCTGAGACGCTCGCTTTAAGAGCGTGAAGCGAGCGTGCATCGTCGCAACTGCATTGGAACAGCGGAGAGCTATGGAGATGTTTGCTTCGGCCTCAGCTGATTGTGTTTATCACTGAGCTCTCCAGATAACGGTTTGGTGTTTGGGCACTCAGCAGAACACAGATAACGGCTCAGACGCTTGGCTCTGTAAATTGCTTCTAAGAGTAAGAACAGGAAAGTAGACTGAGCCCGTTCTGACATTTTCTCATAACTATGAAAAATGGAGAGAATGCCTTGGGTTTTGTGGGTCAAAGGGATCATTTCATCCATTTACAGGCATTGTTTCTTCAGCTGAAGTCTAGATTAGGGGGAACCAAGTCGGCCACCAAGCACCCCATAAGTAGCCTACTGGTCTGTTCTCAAACTACTGTAGCTCACCAGTGATAGGACATTGTCATTTCCGAGGAATGTTGAAAAAGTGATTGTTTTAGGAGAATATAAAGACATGTAGAAATGACGTTTTGGATGTTGATCTTGATCACTTTCCTAGTTTGATAAATCCATCCATCCATCCATCCATCCATCCATCCATCCATCCATCCATCCATCCATCCATCCATCTATTCATTCACTTTGTGTCCCGCTTTCTAGTTCTGGGTTGTGGGGAGCTAGAACAAATTCCGGCAGACTTCGGCCCAAAAAATGGACTACACCGCCCTTCGTTATAATCATTGTTGATAAACTTGAGAAATCCATAATATCCATACATTTTCAATATCGCTTATCCCATTCAAGGTCACTCGGAGCTGGAGTCCATTCCAGCTGACGTCAGGCATACCAACGGAATCAGAATCAGTTTTAGACTCCCCCAAACTGAGGAGAGAGAGCGGCAACAGTCTCCATTTTGCTGAAATGGTCCGTTTTCTCAGTGTCCTCCCATAAATTACTCTCCTCGCCTGTTCGAAAGGGTTTGCAATCCAATGTTGTGTAATTTCTGTCACTCTATGGACAACTTCCATCAAGCTCATAGAGTTAAGTGGCCGAGAACAAGTCATTCTGGCTGATTTTATTTATTTTTTTGATGGTCTAACAGTTAACATCATTGATGCCCGACCGAAGGAAGCAGAAGCACTAATTCCTAGCTAAAAGTCACCCTCTATAATTTGAAGTGGGAACGCTGGCTGGAAAAATTGTTGCGGGGAAAATATAGATTTCAAGGTCCCCCCACTAAAATAAACCACCATGCATCCATTTTTTTTATTTTTTATTTTTGCTGGCTTTGCATTTTTTTTTTCCTTTAAGTGTAATCCGCCAGGAAACTGACTGGTCGTTTTCGATGCAAGTCGACAGTAAGTCGGCAGGCAAACAAGCTGAAACTTCCCTCTCTGCTCTCTGTTAGACAAAAGCACTGGTGTCCTGTCAAGGCATCACAAACGCGGGGGAATCGGCAATACCCTCCCCCCCACCCTTGTAGGCATTCTGGGGCATAGTCATTTGGGGATGCTCATTCTTTATGGGTGAGGTAAGTGGAGCACATGGATTCAATTAGGCCTTGTTTTTAGTGCCTGGTCGTTCTGCGAGCTGCAAGGACAGCACTGATCTTTTTCCAGTGATAAAATGGTTCGACAAATAAGTAGTCGTCCACACAACTAACAGGAAATGCTTTAAAACGAGCTGGCGGCGATCGGAGAGGTGTTTACATGCATTCATTGACGTGTAGTTTGAAACCCAACCAGTCGGGTCTCTTCTTCTTGTGCATGTCGTGACATGCTCAAGCCATAAAAGGGGATGTTAAAGTGCTGCGTAAAACTACACCACTTACACAGGAAAAGTATACACTATTTGCATGGGTAAAAGGTCGCATGAAGACTACACACTCGCCTACACAAGTCTTGATTCATAAACATCTCAGAGGAGGGCCTTTCCCCACTTAATTACAGGGGTTGTGATACTTGAGCGTACATACATAAAGAGAAAATTGTAAAAATGTTTACCCCTCTGGTGGGTTTACTTCAGTCTTCAAACTAAGTTTAGACAATATTTTCTCACTTTTTTTAATTAACACCAATCAAAATGAAAACACGACAAAAACAATTGCATTTTTCCCTTTTTTTGTTTTTAACAAGAATAGTCAAATTATATGATCCATCCATCCATTTTCGGATCGGCTTATCCTCACAAGGGTCGCACGGCATGCTAGAGCCTAACCCAGCTGTCGGCGGGCAGCAGACGGGGTACATCCTGAACCGGTTGTCAGCCAATCGCAGGGCACACAGACCAACAACCATCCGCACTCACACTCACACCGAGTGACAATTTAGAGTGTTCCATTAACCTGCCATGCATGTTTTTGAAATGTGGGAGGAAGCCCGGAATACCCGGAGAGAACCTACGCAGGCACTGGGAGAGCCGGATTCGAACCCTGTACCTCTCAACTGTGAAGCGGACATGCTAACCAGAATACAACTGTGTTGCACCCAAATTTTAATGAGAATAATTAATATAATTAGACGGATTTTTTAAAAAGGAAAAAGACACTTCCGTTGAAGAAGTTGTAATCATTCAAAAACCATCTCTGTTGAAAAATATTTGAATCTTATGAGAAGAAAGTGGTCATTTTAGGAAGGAAGAAGGCTGTGATCTTCAGAGAAGGAAGTTTTATTTTTTGAGAAATTTATGACTTTAGTCTTTATTATATGATAGTCATTGTTTTTTTTTTTTTTGTTGGCTTTTTTTTTCTTCCATTCCGTTGGAGTAAAAGTGTCATATGACGTAAATTCTGTCCTCAGGCACATAATGGGAGATGAATCATTTCTGGAGAAAAAGTCACACTTGAATGTGAACAGGGTAGTTGTACTTTGTCAAGAAAAGTAGCAATTAAACTAAGAAATACTCAACATTAATTGCACTTTTACAAAATAATGTTGATTTATTTGTGTGTGTGTGTGTGTGTGTGTGTGTGTGTGTGTGTGTGTGTGTGTGTGTGTGTGTGTGTGTGTGTGTGTGTGTGTGTTAAAAGCTTTCATACAAGTTTCGAGAGAGCTGTAGTATTTTGGTAGAGATTTTAGCTAGCATCATGGAAGTTGACATGTTTGATTTGCTTTCGCGGGCCACATAAAATGATGATGCCGGGCCAGATCTGGCTCCGGGGCCTTGAGTTTGACACCTCTGTGTTACAATGTACTATTTTTTTTCCTCATTGCAAGTATTCTAATTGAGATATTTATAGAATTTCTTTGAACTTTTGTTGAGTGGTTCGTTCACTAAACCAAGCTTTTTTTTCCTTTTTTTTTCTTTCTTTTTTTTTTTTTTTCCGCAATAAAGCCACCTGGTTTACAAAGTATCTAAGATGTGTGTTCCGTCCCAAGGACTATCAGCCTGATGGAGTCATTTTGGTAATATTGTCGCAGATTGCAGATTGTTGTAGCTCAACTTGTGACAAGGCAGTCACATCAGCTGATGAACAATAACATCATTGACTCACTCTTTAATGTTATGTAAGATTTGCAGATAAAAGTCATTCACGTAATGTCTTTTTTTCCCCTTCTTCTTTTTTCAATCAAGTCGAGAGGAGAGATCACAAAAAATGCACATTTTTAAGTAAATAGTTATAATTTGAAGACAAAAAAATTGATGGATAGAAAACATTTTGGGTGAGAAAAAAAACCTGTAATTTCATGTTTTAGTTTGTGATTTTGTATATGATGCAAATAGTATTAATAGTACTAGGGAAATTATTAATTTGATAATATTGAAGTATTAATTAAGTATGTGCAGTAGTGTGAAATATTATGCCCCAAACCATTTTGTGAAGTTTTTGGGAGGGAGACGCATGTGTGAGATTTTTTATTCAGGGTCCGACATGAGCCACGTTGCGGTTACCCTGTCAGAAGCCGTACTGGCCCATATATTCATGATATTATAACTTTCAGTGATTATTTAATATTTAATGTCCTTTAATGGTTTAAGACTTTAAGTAAATGTTATTTCTCTGTACTTAGTTGTTTCGCGTGTACAAAAGCAAGGGTGTGCAGATATCATCATATTATTTCTGAAATCTCTTCTGGCCCCAGTCGGTGCAACATCCGTAAGTTACGTGGTGTCCTGACACAGTGCCATAGTGGCCCAGGGCCATCGGGCCACCATTAATGTCACACCCTGTTATTATATGTTGATAAAATAAGTGTCATGACTTTGTTCTAAAATTGATCAAGATGGGATTTCAATTCAGAAAACTAGTTATTTTAAGTGAATAAAGTTGGAATGCTAACAATTAAAACAGGTAAAATTGTTTGGGTTGTGATCTTTGTTGAAGAAAAAGCTCTATTTTTTTTTCCCCAAAATTAATGTTTTATTCTTGGATTTCACTTCAGTTTGTATGTCAAATAAAGCTGTTAATTAAAAACACGAGTGCACCTGATTGCTTAATACAGGTGAAAATGTTACAGATAAATGACAAGTGTGGATAATGAGCTGTCATTTCTCAATTCTTTTGTCCTTCTCATTTCAGACTCTTTTGTCAACAGCCAAGAATGGACGCTGAGCCGGTCTGTGCCAGAACTGAAAGTGGTGAGTAAAATCGCTCTCCTCCTGAGGACCCCGAAGTCAGCACCAAATTACAATTGTTAATGAAAAAAAAAAAACAAACAATAAATAAATATTAATAAAAATAATTCTCGTCAGTGTGATCCTGGAGTTAATAAGCGTAATGCTTATGTTTCTCTGGGAACATTGAAAGGATTTTATTTGACATTTACTTGATGATTAGCTGGACATTTTTTATTTTTTTTTCATTTTTTTTAATGAATGTGTTTCCATGGAAACACACGGTGGGATGAGTGACAGTTTTGGTGCTGAATGAGTGGCGCCTTCTGGCTATAGTTTCCACCCTTCGGGCTCCCAAAATGCACAGTGAATATCCACAAGTCGACCAATAGAAGATAGGCTTTGCGGTTGATGGAGCACTTCCATTCTTGGCACCATGAAGACTTAAAAGGCAGCTCCCTTGTTCTCCTGGTGTTAATTGGCTGCGTCCACACGGGGGTTTGTTCAGCAAAGACACAATTAAACCTCTGAGAAAAAAAAGCAATCATTTGCTGCACAACTTTCAAAGATGAAGCAAAAGTTCATGCTGATAAGACATCAGACGAACGCCGGCAATTTCTTTTTAAGCAAGAGATGAATCGCTTTGTTGTTTTTTTTTTTTTTTTTTTTTTTTCAGCTTTAGCCTTTTCTCCCTTCCCTTTGACTCTTAAAAAGAGTAAAACTCTGAAGATCAATCTCCTGGAGATATTATGCTTTTTTTAGGTATTTTTTTTTTTGAACAATTTCAAATAGTTCCCAAGTGTCTTAATAACTTGTCTGTGACATGCTTTTGCTAAATAACCTGTAGGATTAAGGCTTTAGGCAAGGCGAGGTGACTTCATTATTACAGCACCTTTCATCCGCAAGGCAACTCAGTGTGCTTCATTCACACAACCGAAATCACAACTTCTAAAAGCATTAACAAACTGAACAACTGAAGACATTCGCAGAGCAGCGAAAAAAATGTAGCTGATTAAAATTACTAAAAGAACGGATATTGACAACATTTAAGCACATTTGCAACTAAAAGATTTAAAGACATCTACAAAGGAAAGAAATGAAAAGTTGATTTCTGAAGTTACTAAAAGACCATAGAATTAAATTTATTTTTAAAATGCTTAAAATACCTTAATCAAAGGAATTAGGGAGGGGGGGGCATAGTTTTTTAGTTGGATTTGCAAGCATTCATACTTGGGAATGACTTCACTTTCGCTGGCAACTTTTTCCATTTGCTTGCAGCATAACAGCTAAATGCCACTTCATCATGTTTGGTTGGAAACCTGACCTTGACCTGAGTCTGAAAACCTCATCCCCTTAATGTATTGAGTATCTAGACTAGGGGTGCCCATTACGTCGATCGCGATCGACCGGTAGCTTGCGGACAGGTCCCAAGTCGATCGCGAGGGGTGTAGAGGAGAAAAAAACAAACAGCCATATGTGTGTCTTTGTGCATGTTAGTAATATATTTTTTGTGTTAATGTACACTGCACCCTAATCTTCCTATCAGTCTCATTTTCACAAAAGTATTAAAAAAATAAAATAATATAAAGCAGGTAAATCTTTAACCTACGGTGGCGGATGACCTGCGTCACCGGAAGTTGTTAGCGCTCCGCAGTCTGCAATTGCAGCTTGTGATCGGAGCTGTTGCGCTAATCTTTTAGCATTATCGTTATTCTCATTCAGAGTTTGTTTTGTGTACAATTCACCAAGGGCATGGGCAAAGAATAGGAATCTGGAGGGCCGAGGGAAGCATTTTCAAACGGTACACATGAGCTACGATAGTTAACAGGCTGCCAAAGTGCCTCACATGCCTCCACGTCAGGCTGTTCCTCATCATGGCGTGCGTGTGTATGTGCGGGCGTTTGCGCGGTAATGGGTCGATCCCGGGAGGTTGGTTGATCGAAAAGTAGATCTTCGATCAAAAAAGTTTGGGCACCCCTGATTTAGACCATTCCATCAATTAAGAGACCAGAAACCGAATTTTAAAATCTATTCTACAACCACCTGGGAGCCATTGCTTTACAAATCCCATTTCATGTCTTACTGAAGTTTTGCGGGACAGGTCTTGTCTTGCAAGTGAGCAACTGCATACCCTCTAATGGTGCTGTGCCTATGGTGCTCGTGGGGGCAGCACTTTACACTCTGAACTGGTTAAAAATGAAAAAGAAAAACCGGCCATTCTTAAAAATAGTCTCCAAATCCAAACAACTTAAATGTTCCACAGTACTCCAACTGGAAGCGTCTCCGAATGGAGACAGCGCTGAGGCAGCATTTCTGTGGCGTGAAGGTGGCGTGGCGGTGGTGGTAGCCTTTCAGAGTTGACTCATTATTTTCACAGCACACGGCCTACATGTTTTGCTAGCTTACTCACACACTCGTACAGAGAACTCTGAAGTTGTGCCGGGGAATATCAGATGCAGATTGCCTGTCATGTGCCCTTTATAATTGGAACCATACCTGACTTTAGCACCCACTAATGACCTCAGGAGGAGGAGGGGGATGGAGATGAGGTATGTCGTAGCCCTGTTTTGTTCTGACCAGACTTTACCACCCTTGAAAGCGTTTTTTTTTTTTTTCTTCTTCTCAAACCCCTCCACACCGGCGGAAGGAAACGCCGCAAAGCCTGTAACCAATCACACGGATGCGAAGTGACTTTCTTGCTCGTGCTTCTCCCAAGAAGCTCTTAAACAAACACGTGTACAAATACGCTCCTTTACATCCCACTGTGATCCGAGCTGAGCTCGACGTTTTACTTTGATGATCTTATCCGCAGGCTGCAGCTGCTTTTAATTTTGCAGCAGCGAATAGAATGGGTGGACTTTCGTTTTATGCAATTAATGACTGCATTTTTTTGGTTGCTGTAATTAAGTTGCCCAGCTCTGCTGATGATTAAGAGCTCAGTGATTACGTGCACAACATAAAGAGAAATTATAATTACAGGAGAGTGCAATTTAGCTTACTATACATACGATTATCATGTAATGTGCCATCACGATAACAACTCCTGCATTGCAACTACTGTACAGTAAATAAAACAACAACTATAGTAATAAATACAACCACATATTTGTGTTCGGCATTAATGAATGCACCTTGCGGTTTTCTTTTGGTTCCTTTTTTTGCTGAAAATGTCACCTCATCCTTATGTACACGGTCCCCCCCTCCAAAAAATTAAAACGATTACTTTGCCACCATCTTGTGGCATTTTGGTGCCAAAGGAATATTGAAGTGAGTTGAGGAGTTATATTTACACCTGTTACCCCTAATGGTATGCAAAAGAATCGCTGAATTAAATGTTCCATCCATGCATGATGTTACAGTGGCTTAAACTTATTTTTTCCCACTCTAATACAGTGCATTGGTTCAGTACAATTCGATTGTATTTTAACTTTTTATTACAAGATGTTTGCATTTTATCTCAGTGTTCACTTCTGACAACAGCGCTCGGTTCATATTGTCATGTACCAATAGCAGTTTAGGGCATGTAATAGCTCATGGATTCAGCTCTTGCCACGTCTCTGGAAACAAAAGCAGTGCAGCTCAGCTTCTGGCTAGAAGAGGTCACGGCTAGTGACAGTATGTCATACTTCTGAAATTTAGAATGTTCCTGTCTTTTGTTCCCAACTTAAGAAAATGACACAATGTACAGTAAATTACCCAGCCCAGATCTTGATGTATGTGTATGTGTATGTGTATGGCATCCATGTGCCTGTAACTCCCTACCACGTTCTGAGAAAATGTGAGAACCTCATCATGATATCATTTCCTCATCTTTCCACACGTTTGCTGAGTTCTTTTGATTGTTATTGCAAGGCTCAGTAATGTGATTCATTTGCACTGTGCCTGGCTGCCATGAGTTGAAATGTAACAAAAGAGCTTTGAAGCCTGTGTGATCGTCTCTCGCTCATTTCCATTTGTCTTCTTATTGCTTTTGCAGGGAATTGTGGGGAATCTGTCCAGCGGCAAGTCGGCCTTAGTCCACCGCTACTTGACAGGGACGTATGTGCAGGAGGAGTCTCCTGAAGGTAAGAACACCACACAGCAGCTTCATGAGATCGACAGGTGGGGTGTGTTCATTTGTAAAAACCCAATCATTTAGTGCCAAAATGTATAAATACATTTTTAGGGTGTTTTATATTAAAAAAATATTCATAAAGGGCTTTGCGTCCAACCCTTAAGTCACTATCGAGACTGTGGGAATGGCAGGAGTGGCTTTGATCAGATCTTTGTCGAACACAGTGTGAGTGGGTGTTGGGTGTTGTATGGCGATCCTAGGGCGATGGTACTTGGCGAGGTGACGTGCGGAAGCAGTGTAGTGTTGAGAACATGGATAAATGCTGGCGGCTAACTCTACAACAGCGCTTTTTCAAATCAAAAAAATATCCCGAAGTCCATCATCATCCTTGATGGACACGCGCATGCAGACACACAGACACACGCGCGCACACACACACACACACACACACACACACACACACACACACACACACACACACACACACACACACCGTTCATGGAAACTTTATGCAAAGGTCATGCATCAGTGCAGTGCAGTGTTTATCTTGCAATAGACTGTTATTTGGCTATGAAAGTGACATTTTGTTATTTCGTAGAAAAGCACTGTTTAGATATTTGCGGTATCATTAAAAAAATGAGAAAAGATTAATTGCATCCCTGATTAAAAAAATTTTGTTGACTCATGTTATTAGATTCAATTAAAATCATTATGTTAAATGTAGTTTTCCTTTTTATTCAATAAAATATGAATCAAATGTGTTTTATAAGTTACATGGGAATTTTTTTATTAGAAATGTATTTTCTTATTTATGTCAAACAAACATCTATTTTATGATTTAGTTTTGGCTTGGACATGATCATGTCTTATACAACATAGTCTGGAGTCTGGCAATCACTTGAAAGTGGCTCTTGCCTCGCTAGCTCATCGTGGAAGGGGCAAAGAAACTCTGTGGCGGCGGCTATTATGTAAATTAGGTCCCACATCACAACTCACAGACGCATTTTCAGAAATAAGGAGACAAAAGATTTGCTTGCTAGTTTGATTTTAGATCTGATGGCAGGCCTTCCAGACATCCAACGATCCATATAAGCGAGTTCATTTTCCATCATATGTGCCCTGAATAGTTTTTAATGTAAAGGTTGGGCCCCGTGAAAAGGACTGCTCAGTTTCATTTTGGGGAGATGCGAGGATGACAACTGAAGCGTATCCGCGGGATCATAATGAGAACTGCGCCCTCTGGCCCCACTTCGGCATGCTCAAAGATTAACTGGAAAGCTTGTAGCATGCATTTGTGTGCCGGATTTTCTGTCATTTCGCTGCACCAAAAGAGAATCATCCCGGCGCGATTATCCTTGCCAGACAGCATCTGACAGTCTTGATTAGCGGCCATGTTGTGCACATTTCCAATCATCCTGATAAAAGGAGCTCCACAGTGGCTGTTTTTTTAATATACGCTGCGTGGGAAAAAAAAAAGAAAAGAAACAAGCTCCGAGGTGTGTTGCCGTGGCAACAGTGGATTGAGCACCGTTGGATGTCAAGGTCTGAGCCTCTGTGTGAGAGCCACCCACCTCAGCCACCCTCCTTTTTTTTTTTTTTTTTTATAAGTTAGACCTGACCCGCTCACGTAACCCATCATCATCATCCTCCTCATCATCATCATAGAAGGAGCTAGAAGACACCTCTGGGTGGTTATGTAATAAAATCCATAGTCTGACAGAATATAAGCTTCCCATTGCAGACTCTGTCTCCATAAAACATTCATTCTGCGCCTTGTTCTGATCCCTTTTACGAGAGCAGGCAGACACCCTCGTTTCTCGATGCTTTGTCTGACTGAAGAAAATAACTGCTGGTGCGTGGATGGCTCCCCGTTAGTTATGCAAGCATCATCCATCCAGCAAGCTGAGAATGTTCAGCCTTTGCTAAGCAGGCGAAAGTGGACTGACCGAGGTGACTGATTCGAGTGGCTTTACTTGCTGAAGAGATGAACTGAGTCAACCTTTTGAAAGAATGGCCACTTGGTTATGCAATCTAATGAGAGCCAACCAACACGGCGGACCCTCTGAGGCCAAACGCCGTCCATTCTGGACGCTCGTCAAACAAATGTTCCCATAGGAAATCATGACAACGGAAATACAGTATTGCAGGAGGTATGTTCCAGACCCGCCCGCAGAAGTTGAACGGGGAGGAATCATTATCAACATGCTTGACTGGTCTTGGACAATTTACTTCCTAAATGGAATATAGTGTATTTCAAATTGCTACCTACCGGTAGTCCATTTTAAAGTAATACGTTTTGTGTCCAGTAATCCATCCATTTTCCGATCCCCTAATTCCTCACAAGGGTCGCAGGGAATGCTGGAACCTATCCCAGTCGGCAGTAGGCAGGGGACACCCTGAACCGCTTGCCAGCCAATCGCAGGGCACACAGAGACGAACTACCATCCATGCTTACACCAAGGGACAATTTAGAGCGTTCAATCAGCCTGCCATGCATGTTTTTGGAATGTGGGAGGAAACTGGAGTACCCGGAGAAAACCCACGCAGGCCCAGGGAGAACCTGCAAACTCCACACACAATTGAACCCGGTACATTTGCACTGTGAGGTTGACGCGCTAACCACTGGACCACCGGGCCGACCTGTGTACAGTAATGAGTTACTTTTTAAAAAAGGACCTCGTTATGTTACTTTTTCACCACCTAAACATACAGTAGAAAGTAATATAATATAATAAAGAGTTATCCCGAACGCTGTGCTTGTCACACAAGAGGTTAACCACTGTAAAAGGTTTAAAAAATGTTGAAACATTCATTCATTCATTCATTCATTTTCCGAACCGCTTGATCCTCACTAGGGTCGCGGAATGTTGAAACAGTAAAACACAATTTGGGTACAAGCCATTAAAAATCATTTTTCATCCATCCCTTTTAAAGCTCACTGAACCTGAGGTCTTGTGTGATGAAGCTGAAGTTCATTTCGGTTTTAGTGACAAAAGTCGAAGCATTTTTTCCCCTTATCGAGTGCTCTCATTCTTTATCATGTCATCTTTCTCTTACGTGCTTATGAAGCAGCTTGAAAATCTCATCGTTGTAAAAAATATATGCACTGTTACAATTTTTCCCCAGGCACACGTTGGCTCTCGCTTTTTTTTTTTTTCATCTCCAATCCTAATCGAAACTGACTCTATTATTCAATTGTGTCAAATGGCGCTCGGGATATATTCATAAGACATGAGGTTTTCTCGCCAACCCCATGTTTTAATCTCCGCTGGATCACAAAGTGTGAGACTGGATTGACTTTTGAGTGTTGACTCCCTCGGGTTTCGTTTTTATCTGCAACTGGAAATAATCTGTATTTTATATGAGATGTAAAATGATGACGAATCGGAAGGAACAAATTGTGCGCGCGTTCACTTAAAGACCGATGGCTGATCTCCCTTCCTTCCCCCACTTCCTTGATGTCCTTTGTTCTTCTGTCCAACCTAACGTTTTGGTTCTCTCTTACTACAGTACCCTCCATAATTATTGGCAGCCCTGGTTCAAATCTGTTAAAAGCCTTAGAATAAATCAATTTTTACTGAAAAACAAACCCACAACCCAGCGCCTCCCGTGGGCCTCTTAATCCCCAGATCCCAACCCCATTGAAAAGTTGTGGCGCGAGATAAAGAGGAGGGTGCAGAGCAGATGACCCAGGTTGCTGGATGATTGAGAGAGCACACATTAAATCTTAGATTTATATGTAATGTATGTTATTTAGAAAAAAAAAAGAATTTATGCGAAGATAAAGAACACCTCTTAACCCAGGGCTGCCAATGCAATATGTTTGTTAGATTTGATGAAGAACCACGGAGTGTAGAAGTTGACTGCTGCATTAGCCAGCTAGCTATTGCCCAACCTTCTGTTTAAAAAAAAAAGGATTTTGATCTGGTCCTGTGTGACAGTCTCTCGGTTGTTTATTTTTGCTTCGCCTCCATGTAATATAATACAAGACTATAAAGCTTTATTTGTGTCGAGCTTTCACAACCGCTGCAGCTGTCACAAAGAGCTTCACAGAACATTTAAAATACTACGTCCAAGAAATCTGAATATTGATCAATGTATAAGGCGCATCGGATTATAAGGCGCACTATCGGCTTTTCAGGAAATTTAATGCTTTTAGGTGCGCCTTATTGTGTGGAATAAACGGTAGTGTGTGTGTGTGTGTGTGTGTGTGTGTGTGTGTGTGTGTGTGTGTGTGTGTGTGTGTGTGTGTGTGTGTGTGTGTGTGTGTGTGTGTGTGCGCGTGTGTGCGTGCGTGCGTGCACCTGAGAATACAACATGACGTGACCTCATAAAAAGTTTGGGCGACAAGTTGAAGTGAAGCTTCTCGGGAGCGCTTTGACAGGAAGCGGGCCGGGGGTCTCTCAGGAGCCAATTACGTGGGCGAGGAATCGCAATTTAGCATGTCTAATGCGCAGCTGCTGCGGGAGGCGCTCGGGCGACAAAGTCACTGCAATGCCGCCAGTTCCCTGGCGCGGACGCTCATCTGGCTCTGCAGCGATACCTGCGTGACACAGTTGAGCCCCCCAGCTGTGTCAACGGTACTTAATTTAAATTGTCACACAATTGGGAAATGCAACCAATGACTAATGTGATACAACATTCCTGCCTTTTGATCACAAGTGACAAATACATGGCAGCTAGCCACTCAGTGGCTAATGCGAGAAGCTAACAGTCTCAAATCTTCACTCAGTGCTACTTCTCAAGTACCGCAGGCGGACTAATGGGTCAATGGGCAAGTCTTTTGTTCACAAAAAGTTGGTCAATAAACTGAGCAGTATGTTATCTCAGATGTTTTAGTAGGCTTTCTTGCACACACTTTTCCACATGATATGGCACGTAATTTGATTATCCAAGGTCTCAGGCCCAGTCGGTCCCAAGACTCGTGAAAATAAAAATTGAACAACAAAATAAGATCAAATAAATATGATAAAGAAATGCTTATTCGTGGTTTGAATGTGTGCAAAGATGTTTTGGAGATGTTTGTGGCTGCAGCTGAGTGAAAATGCAAGACGGTCAAATTTCACATATATCCTCACAAGGTCATTTTGCTCTTGGCAAAAAGAATAGAATCAAGAACAAAATGTTCAACGTGCAGGAATGAATGGGCATGGGGCTACCATGATAGTTTTGAGTACTTTAGTTTTGCCAATTCAATAAATATTGTTTAGAAATCAATCAATAATGATTGTTATTCATTGTGATTTCAATATCAATCAAAATAATCGTGATTATTATTTTTGGCCATAATCGCCCAGCCCTAATCTCAAGAGATCATTGGGCAGCATATAAAAGATATAAAGATCTAAAAAAAAAAAAAAAAAAAAAAAAGACTGAAAAACAACCAAAAACAAAAAAAAATACAATAACGGATGTCTTTTTTCCTCAGGAGGACGCTTCAAGAAGGAGATCGTGGTGGACGGGCAGAGCTACCTCCTCCTGATCAGAGATGAAGGAGGACCTCCAGAGTTACAGGTGAGTGTGTACACATATTGAAAAAAAAGAATCAGCACGACCAGCAGTCATTGAGAAAGAGAGTGTTAGCCCACACACCATTACCTCCCTGCTTGCTCTCTTTCCCGCTCCCCCTCCCCCTTCTCCGCTCACACACATTTAAAGGTCACAACGGATCAACGAGCAACTTGCAGTCAAACACCTAAGCGAAGGCAGCTAATCTTCATAAACCTCAGCAATAAAAAGAATAAAACGAAGGAAACTTGACCACATAACAAGCTTTGATATCCTCTATCTTCTTCTTTTTGGAAGCTCTTCCGCAATCATCCAACCTCATGCTGAGACTGAGCAGCCGCCACAGTCGTCATTTTACTATTTATTTAATCTTGTTTGGAAAATAATACATGTACATATATTCCCACACTTACTACACTTGAGTGTTCTTTTGGTTAACACATCTGCCTCAGAGGTCTGAGGTTCTGAAGGATCTGTAGTCGAAAGTTCTCTCCTGTTCCTCCACCGTCTTCCCCACATACATGTTGAAGACTCAGAATTAGCCATTAGTGGTAATATATGGAGTAATGTTCTTTGGCTTATGTGTGCCCTGCGATGAGTTGGCAATCAGTCCAGGTTACCCCGTGCCAACATAAAGTCAGCTGGGGAAAGCTCCAACTCACCGGTGACTGTCACCTGAGGACAAGCGCTGTAGAAAATGGGTATTCCCACTCGTCTCTACTCTTTTTACAGAGTCCGACACAAGAATTACAAAAAAAAAAAAAAAGCATTTCAGTAACAACAACCTTTACAGTTGGAGGTGGCGTGACCTACTTTACTTCAATCATATGTGGTAAAATGTAATTTTATTCCATGTATGATTTATTACTTCTGGTAACAAGACAGGAAGTAGCCAGGAAAAAATCTCTGTGGCCCTCTTGTGTAGCTAATATGGTAACCAGCCGTTCAGAATTATGCAGTGCGGTTCATTTACAGGGCGCCAGCGAGCCATAATGCGCCGTTCCTCTCGTTTGCCGATGGAAGTTGTGCATTCATTTTGAAACTTGCCTAATAATGAGACATCTCATCCAATTGTTTCATTAACGTTTGCGAGCAGTCGAGTGCTGTTTGAACCGCTTATCTGAAGCCAACGCTTTTAACTAAGGCTAGCCTTTGCGTCCACCAAAACTCCATGCAGCTCTGCATACCTTCTGGCCTGGATACTGTGCACACACTGAAAATGAACGGCACATGTGTTGATGTGCTGCTTGGCTCCACTCGAGAAGTTTTTAATCTCTCGTAATGACACAAAGATGAAGATTTCTTTGTAAGACAAGGAGAATGGCTGCAAGTTGCATCACTGCGGGTTTTTTTTCCTCTTTCCACCTGCTCTTGATTTTTGCAAGTTCCTTTGTACTGGCTCACAAATGGTGGTACACCGCCATCATGTGGTGGTGAGTCAGATCTACATTTATAAAGATGGGTTGGGGTCACTTGTGTTGCTGTAACAGTCAGACGAAGAGCATCGAACTAAACTGTTCAGAGACAAGAAAGCAACGGGGAAAATGTGAATATCGTTTCACTTTAACACCCATCTTCTGTGCCCTTAGTTTGCCGCCTGGGTGGATGCGGTGGTCTTCGTCTTCAGCCTGGAGGACGAGATCAGTTTCCAGACGGTCTACAACTACTTCCTGCGTCTGTCCAGCTACAGGAACGCTGCCGAGGTGCCCATGGTCCTCGTTGGGACACAAGGTGTTTGCGGCGAACTTGCTCATGATGGCCACTCGGCCGAACATCCGCGGCATTTCTTGAAACACTATTTCTGTCCTAGATGCCATCAGCGCTGCCAACCCCCGAGTTATTGATGACTCACGGGCCAGAAAGTTGTCCAATGACCTGAAGCGCTGCACGTACTACGAGACCTGCTCCACCTACGGCCTCAATGTGGAAAGAGTCTTTCAGGATGGTGAGAGGACACGTTAGCATACAGTCTGATAGCGTGATAGCGATTGATCATTTCTCATTACAAACGTGTTCACGACACAGCACGATGTAAAGGTTTAGCAATCTGTGCCTTACCTATTTTTATACTTAAGATGTCTTGTTTTGTGTTGGGCCACATGGCGAAATTTACATGTCAAAAAACGTTAGCCTTCAAGTTTGGTTTTGGTCTTAGGTTGCAGCTTGTCAATGTCAATATGCAGACTGTTAGCATGTTAGCATTTTGTTGAATCTCATTAGCAGTCGTTTTGGACTGAAGGGCATTATGTAAAATCCTTGTCTTAATACTTGTATGTTAACATTGTGCTCTTAATGTATTTAGCAGTTAATTAGTTCTAGAAATGCCATCGGACTACAGGCCATGACGTAAAATGCTTATCAATATGCCTTCGTACTTTTCTTTGTTATTCGGGTTTTTATGTCAGTATACCAAGTGGTGGCATAAAATAGTACTAGACTACAGGGCATGATGTAAATTCCTCTACCTGGACTACTACGTGTTGTATGTGACAATTCTAACTCTGAATGTTGAGCAGCTTGTCCATTCTCATGAGAAATAGCAATGGACTAAAGGCCAGGATGTCAAATCTTGGTTAGTATGCCTTTGTGCTTTGGCAGAAACCAAAAACCAAACACTAGGAAACCTCGGCTGAAACACTGAAATAAATTTTCAGCACAATTAGCATTTTAATTTTTTTTTTCCTCCATTGGATCATTTTCAGCACTCTGGCATTTTTGTTGAAGTGTGAGCACTCTGATTCTTTCCGAGAGGTGCGCACGCTTTCATGGCTCTTCCCAGCAGCCAGTGAGGGTTCTCACCCCAGGGCTGCTACCACAGCAGGGTTTTTTTTGGGCTCATTGCCTCGCCTCCCACCTCCAACTGTTGGGGCACATATGTCCAACCAAGGTACACCATGGGTGGTACTGGCTACGTATCTTTTCTTACGCCTCCTCATTTTCATCTGTGACCTGTGACGATGTCACGACAGAGAACCTCGTTTCAACACCGATTAGCACTTACTTTTCGTCATGTCATCACAACCTCCTTTTTCGGCAATTGACAAAACGCTTTCAGACAAAAACCGAAAATGTTTTTTGGCCAAGTGAGTGTTTGGCGTATCCCTAGTTGTTATGTTAGCCTGCCAGCTGGTAGCATGTTAGCATTTTTTTTATGGACACGCATGAGAAATAGTACTTGTCAATCCGCCCTAACGTTTTTAGTATTCACATTATCTTGCGATACCTCATGTTAGCATACCACCTGCCTTCTAGTCTTCTACTGCCATTTCAGTTGGTTTTAACACTTAAGTGTATGTCCACTTGGACCTGGTATGTTCCCAAATCAACAAAATGTGTCCATGCATTAACATTTATACTTTTTATTTTTTTTAAAAAGCATCAACTATGTAAAATTGCCTTTGACTCCATCATGAAGTCAATCATTTATTCTCTCTATAGAGCACTTAAAAGCTTGTCACAATATCAAACAAAATGCTGACTTTGCATTTGCTGGTCCAGCTCCTTAATTGCTTCCCGAAGTCCAATCGGAGCCGATTAAAAAGAATTGAAGGTGTTTCTGCTGTCAGGCTATGTCGTCCCAGCTCTTACTTGTCACAGCTGTCAGCACTGCGTGCCATCTTCCTGACGCTAATTTGTATTTCGCCGCGTTAATTAAACGAGGAGTTGCACGGGGCCGCTCAAACACTGGTCACAGCGTCACAGTGAATGACAACTGGTGTAATTAGTTGGGATTCTTCTACTTCACTCACTTCACAGCTTTCCCAATTAATGAAAGTGTGCATTTATGTTTTGTGTTTGGCAATGAATTAAATATAAAAATTAAAATTAATACAAAATCATAAACATACTGTATAAAATAAATACCGTGTATACTATAGAGCTTATGTAAGACTTTTTTATCGTCTTTGCAAGCATGACTGCCAGTTACTGGAAGCAAAAGTGATTAAAAGAAGCCTCGCAATTAAAAATAATCTGTGACATTTACACGATGAAAAATAATATATGCCTGCTAATATACTCGTTTGAATTTGAAAGAAAAATGGGTAGCAGTAAGAATATGATTTCTGTTTGACTGTGGAACTTGGTGCGGTTAATCTCATTTTTAATATTTTCCGCCTTAAAAATTCAAGCAAGAAGATGGAAATATTTTTGAACAATGCATAAATGTTAACAAGTGTCTCAAATTGTAATAATTGTTATACCGTATTCAGTGTTGTTATTGGGGCCAACACTTGCAATTCTTTCAGTGTACAGGGACAAATCTTGAGCCCGGTTCTGGTGTTACTGGAAACTTCTGAAGACTCAGGGTACACCTAGGTAAAAGTGCTTGAGATTCTGAAAAGCCCTTCAGAAGTTGGGATTACTTTTAGTATTATCACGATAATACCGATAATCACGATCACTTAGGTCATGATGATCATAGTATGATTTTTCCTCTCCACGCAATCCAGTAATTCCCGTCCAGTTCTGCTCCTCCTGCTGTATGTTTATGTGACATATAAAAGAAGCCAATGGAAACACTCTTCTATTTGTTGTGTCCTACAGTGGCTCAGAAGGTGGTGGCCATGAGGAAAAAGCAGCAGCTCTCCATTGGGCCGTGCAAGTCTCTGCCCAACTCGCCAAGCCACTCGTCAGTCCCCACGGCGTCCATCCCCTCTGTTCACATTAATCAGGTGGGACCAGGATGGCAGTTTGCTGGTCATGTGATGACTTGATTTTTTTTTTTTTTTTGCAAGAAAGGAAATAAGATGAATAAAATGTGGGGTATTTTGGTGAACATGTCACAGACATGTTGTTAAGACACCTGGGACTCTTTTCAAATTGTGAAAATAAAATGCCCGTTGCCCTCTTCGAAAATGAATCAACAGCATCCCCTGTTGGTGGCAGTCAAGTCGTGTACTCCTTTTTCCACAACTAATTACCAATCAGTTCCACGCAAATTCATGGTTCCACTGTATGAATATAAGGAGGCTCTGGTGTGGTTGTTTTATGTAACCGCTCAAATGGTATCCAAATTGACCTGCTGTTCTCACTTCCTCTCCTCCTTTTCATCCGATGGTGTCCTCTTTACCTTCCTCCTTTTCCTCTTCCTCCTCCTCCGCCAGGCGGCCAACGGCGGCTGCGCGTTCAGCGACTACTCCTCCTCGGTCCCCTCCACCCCCAGCATAAGCCAGCGGGAGATGCGCATCGAGACCATCGCTGCCTCCAATACGCCCACGCCCATTCGCAAGCAGTCCAAGCGCCGCTCCAATATTTTTACAGTAAGTATGCGACAGCTGATGCAAAGTAACACCCACTCGCACTACTAGGGAGGGGTGCGACGCACTTTGTCCACCGGAGTGGGGGGTAATAAACAGCCAAAAGAAAGTGCCCAAGCCTCCTTTCCGGTCTCCTATGCAGGCTCACACAGCATAACGGGCACTGGTAAATACAAAAACAAAACAAAACAACTACAACAAAAAACACCACACAAGTTATATTAGATCCCTTCAAAAAGCAAATAACAAAGATTAACACTGTGGAAATTTTTCTTGTCCTTTTTTTTTTTTTTTCTCTAATTGGATGTAGTGAGTGGATTAGGTTTCTCACGGAACCTGTGACGACGAAAGCCCCCCTGCGCTGTCCAATCCAAATCTTTCACCACCCGCACCCTTGCCCTCTCATTCTGACTGACTGGATCCTTCTCTTTTTACATCACATAAATAAATCCGAGCCTCATCATAAGCTCTGATAATAAGCCCCCTCCCCACTTGCCCCTGTCAAATCTGATCAAAGAAAAAAAAGAGAGAGAGAGAGAAAACCTGCCCACCCTAAACCCTCATCTTCTCTGAATCCCCCCCCTGTCCGTGTCCTGTTGCTTTAACCGGCAGCCTGTGGTGTGCACTAACCACTCTAGACTTCCTTAGCGTGTCTTTTTTTTTTTTTTACATATATATAATTGTCTTCTTCCCTTTCTGCCTGCGCTCCTTCCTCCCCCCCCCGCCCCCCCTTCTCATCTCACCGAGCCACAAATTAGTTTCAGCTATTCTAGCCAATACTCAAATGGGTGTTCTAGTCGTAAAGATTGCCATTTTCAATTCTTGGATTTGAGACAGATTTCACACTCAGGAACCAAAAGTGCTTCATTGTACTCTTTGTGGTACATTGGCTTGTCATTGGGGTGGTACTTTTTATGTGTACCAGTGGTTTGTTCCCTTATGCTCACCACCATGCGTTTTATTTGAACAATTTTAACTTTAAAAATGACCTTTGAGGACATTAATTAACCCGATGGGCAGTGTCATCGTGTGGCTTTTGAGTGCTTTTGAGCCAGTAAGGCCACCATACTTGAAGATGAGCAATGCAGAAATGCATTCCACCTCCAACCCTATGTTACCAATGCTGATGGGATTGGTGAGAAGTGCAGGCCGAGGTTTCGCATACTTTTTATACTAAACAGCCAAATTACATATTTTGTCCCTCCACAGGACAATTTGCTTTCTCTAAACCAGTGGTTCTCAACCCGCGTTCAATCGAACCCCAGGGGTTCGGTGAATCGGTCTCAGGGGTTCAACGGAGCCTCTGCCATGGAGGTTAAGACACACCCGACTCAACATGTCAATTAGTGATGAAAACGCTCGCTTGGCCATCACTGGCTGCAGATTTTCACATTACATTGCTTGTCCAATCAGTGCTGCGGGAAATTTAGTTCGCTCAGTAGTCGACGTGTGACTGTTGTGATAGTACGTGGTGTGAATGTTTTAGAATATTTCAATGCATGCTAACTATGTCGAGCAAAAAAATTAAAGTGGTCGGTCAAATATGTACCACTGGGATTCACATGCATCACGAAACATGATGGGACTCAGCATCCTATCTGCATGATTTGTCATGCCAAGTTGAGCAACTCAAAATTGAAGGAACACTTCTTGAATCTGATTTTTATTTTTCAGTAATGAAGGGTTTGGTGAACATGCATATGAATTGGTTGGGTTCTTAACCTCTAATGAGGTTAAGATCCACTGCTCTAAACTGTTGCCAAGCCATTAGAAGTTGATCCACCAGAACCCTTTTGGGGCACCCAGATGAAATGTTATCTTGCGGAACCTCCATGACAGACACGGATTGTTGATGGGAAGGAGAATGCGATGTGAATTATTTTATTGTAGTGTTGGAAACTAGCACTCATTTTGTCTAAATTAAGATCCTCAACTCATTTCAGCATTGTTCCTTGGCACCAAAATGCCATAAGATGGCCTGAGCACAAAAACAGTCAATATTAAGGTATAGAGAGTCACGAGTACCTTCCTCCTACCCTCGAAAGGCCGGTTGCATATGTGCAAACTCTTGTTTTTTTTTTTTAGGTGTATCATTGAAAAATTAGGTCATTCTGGGCACCCAAATTGGTCTCTCTCCAGAGCCCTGAGTGAATCTGAATAACAGAGGATGCTTCCCCAAAAAATGGCGAACACTCACTTGACTGTACTGTACGATTGTTTGTCTGTTTGTTTTTTTTCTTTTGAAATTTTGCGAGACACACTTTAAGAGCGTGCCTAATTCACTGGCCAGGCCTCTTCCACCCAAACATGCTATGCCACTGCCTATGGGTTACATTTGCAACTCTTCCCAGTTGTGTTCCTCCCTGGGACAAATCGTATGCATCACGATGATTGGTGAACCTAGGAAAAAAGTTCATTTGGGGCCCCAGACTTTTGGGCAATTTAATGCACTGTAAGTGAAAAATGAGCACACCCCGTTTTTCTAATGATTCAGGCACGGTGAGATTGCTTCTATTCTTGCTTCTTCTCTTCCCTGTCCCGCTCTCCTCTAACCACTTTCCTCTTTGGTCAGTCCCCTCTGACGCTGACCCCCACCCCCCACCCCGCCCTCCCTCCTGTCCTCTATCTGCTCTTCTTCATCCTCCTCTACCGCCTTCACCATGCGACCCACGGCTGCTGTGGGAGCCACGCGTGGGCTGCCCTCCAAGCAGTCCAGGCCTTGTGCTATACCTCCCTTTTTGTTGTCTCCCCCTTCCCTCCTCCCCCTCCCACTACTACCCCACCCTCACCCCTCCTCCCTTGCTAGGTAGTGACTAACCATGTCCACCAGAGAAATGATCCGCTCCTCCCCGTCCGCGTCATGGAGATGCCGAAGCACGCCACCTACCCAGTGTGGGTGCCCGAGTGGCAGGCCGAGCGGGAGTTTCAGCTCATGACCTTCTGAGGAGCAGCGAGGAGGAGGAGAAGGAGAAGGAGGAGGGTGGGAGGAGGTCCGGAGGAAGAGGAGGGGGTGTATAGTTCATAGAGCAATGAAAGAACCTTTTTTTGAGAGAGAGAATATATTCCCAAACATCATCCCTTTGCTCATCTTCCCCCCCCACCCCCCCCCCAAAAAAGAAGAGTTCTATAAAAGCTGTGTAAGTAGGTCATGCCGTGTTGTTGTTTATTTATTTATTTATTATTTTTGGATTGATGGTTTGGAGGGACGGGAATACGCCTTAACGTCCCACAGTTCCTGACGCTGGCACTTTTAACAGTGAAATTCAAAATATCGGTGCCCACGAATTCTTTTCACGCACCTCCCTTGCCGTCATGATGGATCATCTCATCCTTCTTCCTAGTGCTTCCATCACAAAGAACTTTTTAATGTGTGCTAAGCCGTCAGTCCTTCTTTTATGCGTGTTGACAAGCAAATTTAGCTCGAGTTCACAAACGATATGTCCTCCTCAAGTTCGTACCGCGCCACTTACTCGTGTTTCCCCGCCCTCTCATTTTTAACCCCCCCCCCATAACCGGTAGTGTTGCATCTGCAGATCGGCGCTTGTGTTTCCTAACCTTTGGCGAACAAAAAGGGCTTTCCAAATTCCTCCTCGATTAGAAGAGCTTTTGAATCATGAACGATTTAGAAATAAGTGTGAGACAGGCTGCAGGGACGATGGAAATGCCCCCCCCCTCCCCACTCACACACACATACATCATTCAGAAACAAAAAACAAAAACAAAAAAGTTGGACCCGTCTCTCACCCAAAGGATCCAAGTCTGCCACCTTACATCATCTCACTGCCTTTTTGCCATAAACCAGGACTGAAGGACTCCAGTTGCCACGTTTTGCTTCTTCTTTGTATTTCTTTGATTCCTTCTCGTTTGCAAGTTAGACTAGAGCGGGACGGTTATTCCTTTCATTTGTAATTTTTATGAAGGCCTTCATAAAGTCAGTTAGCGTCGAGACGAGCTGAAATTGCACCGACCTGTATGAATGTAGTTCCACTTGTTTGTATTTTCCACTTTATTTATTGATTGATTTCATATTACTATTCTGTTCTTCTTTCTTTTCTTTTTTTTTTCCGGAGATGCTGACAAACTCTCGCATAATCGCTTTTTCTAACACAAGCCGACCTGCCCTCAACCCGATAGACTGCTGTATATATATCATGTATTGTATTTTATTCTACACACACACGCACGCACACACACACGCGCACACAGAAAAAAGGAAGAACATATATGACATACTGCCTTTTATCGTCCATCTTATACTTTGTGGGGAACTGCAAATGTTTGGCACTCAATCTGTTGAATATTTTGAAGTGAACTTTGTGACTTGCTTTGTATGGTGTCTGTATAGAAGCTCCAACAAGTCATCCTAACGGTCAAATCAAATAAAAATGTTAGATATATGAAACGTGACTGCGAGTCTCCCTGTTTTCATGGGTGACTGGGCATTTTTCTTCATGTTCTGAGTGAGACCATACATGTCTGTTGCTATTCATCTTTTTTTTTTTCTTTTGGTGACGGGGTGGGAAGCTTTCGTTAACAAATGACAATGCAAATGTGCTCTTTTTCCTTGTTTTGCAGGAAATATTTGAATTATTTGACATGTGGAAGCCGTTTATGCCCTTTAGGTGTTTGCAGGTGTCACCAAGCCGCTGATACTGACATGAACTAATCCCCTCTCTCCTTTTGTTAAAACTTTTCAATGTACTGACTGTGCGTTACACTCAAGCGGCAGCCGCTCCCGCATCCGAGCTGGGAGTCAAACTGGCAACAAAACGGATCACCGAAAAGGGTTTCAGGGCTGAGTCATGACTCAAAAAAAAAATCAACCTAATAATAAATATGTGGTTGTCCTCCGTGTTGAGATGTGTGTCAATTGTGGTCTTGCTTTTGCACGTTGGTGTTTACTGCTCTTTGTCACGCTGCTCTGCTTTTTTTGTCTTTGAGCCGTTTTGTTTTGGACGTTTATGTTGCAACTCTCACACAGACTCACAAACAAACATGCACACACAGAAACCTCCGCACAAACACTCCTATTTTCCCCACAACACAACCACGACATCATCATCATCACGGCGGCGGCTGATTGTGTCTCTTGTTCTCCTTGCAGTCGCGGAAAGCCAGCGAGCAGTCAAAGAGCGTTGAGAGTAAGACAGACAGCATAGGCAGTGGAAGGGCCATTCCTATCAAACAGGTGAGAACCCACGCACGCGTTACAACTTCCTAAAATGCACCGGGTGAGTACACAACACCTTTTTGCGTTGGCCTGCACAGCCCTTGTCTTCTGTCATGTTTACGCTTTCAATGCCAGCCATTAAAAAAAAAAGGAGGGAGTACCTTTTGAGTGGCAGCCAATTTAGCACATCGAGACTGATCTTTCAAGGCTCACATGAGACGATGTAAAACACGGAGACTACTTTCTTCATCGCACAAAAAAAAAAAAAAGTTTCTACCTAGTTTTTAAGAATCAGTTATTGAACATGGGTTGGTTTCACCTAAATCACTGTTTTGGGACCTCAAGAAATGCAGAAAACAAGATTTTTGTGAAAAGATTTTTTGCACAACAAAGACTTTGATGCTAATAATTTTTGCTTGAGTGACGTCATCGGAACCATTCTTGTGGATGTGCAATAAATGTGCATTTGCTAGCAAAGTAATGTATTTTGAAAAATATTCAAAAGTGTAACAATTTTACATTTGACAAAATTTAAAAACGATTTGCACGCTATTTAGTAGTAGTAGTATTTAGTAATGTGTACGTGTGCATGTTTAAGTGCATTACATGCGTGTGCAGCTACTTTACGTCATCGCTTGTACTTCTAAATTGTATATTCTCTATCATCTTTTCGTTCTTACGTGACACTCTTTGTGAAGATTTAACGTGACAGACACTACTTGTAACGGTCAAATTTGCACAGTTCCGCCATATTCACAAGAGATCCAATACTACCATGTGCTGGCCATAGTTAGTGTTTTGTTTAGATTTTTTTTCCCTTCTTTCCCAGTTTATTGATCAAACCAGAGTTGCACAAGACTTTTCTCCGCCTATTCTCGTTAACAAAAACATTTTTAAAAATGAAACACGGACCGGTAGTTGTCAACAACACTGAAAGAGTAAAATGATGTCTACTATCCATCCTAAAGGCTGTGTGCACACAAATCTGTTTTTTAACATTTAAACCCAATTTTTAAAATGGTAGAGCTCCCCCTAATGCCAATGAGCAAAGTTAAATCAACAATTCTCTGCTTACTGCTTTTATGAATGTCTTGTGTGACACATTGTACAAACATTCCATAACAACCAATTGCGCCCCTGTTTTTGTTCCTGTTCACTTCCTTATTGGCGGTCATTTTGTTTCATGTCACAATTATTGAGTCCATGGCTACTTAAGATTGACCAAATATTGAACGGGTTTAACATCGATCCTGATTGTTTGGCGAGCAGGAGGATAAAAATCCTCCCCTGACATCATCCCCCACACAACAGGATAATTGCTCAGGATAATCTTTTAGAGAGACTCAAACTGATAATTGGGCCTTTGTTGACTTTGGTTGAAAGGTTGGGAAAATTATGCTCCAATTTGGGCCGATTATTGGCGTATGTACCCCGCTTAATGGCTGGAATTTTATTCAGTGATTTCCAACCACTATTGTGCTGTGACAGATGATTGGATGTTCTGTGGCAAAAAGCCAATGTCACCTAATTGGGCAGATTTTTTTTCTTCTTTTACAACAAAATAATGTATCTTTTTCTATATCTTGCTCTTCCACTGGATGGCAGAAGGAACACTTACCGTAACCTGTTTATCCATCTGCCCATCTGTTTCCTATTCATACAACAGAATAATAGTTTTATGTTCAACTGAACAGTTTTCACACAAAGTAAATGGTGTGTAAATTGAGATCACCATTATTTTAGTATGTGAATATACACACGCATATATACATTTAGTTTTTTGTTTTTTTTTTTTTTTTTTTTATGAAATTTATGTTCGGTGGTTTGTCGTGAGATTATCTTAATGTAAAATATGTGCCATGGCTCAATAAAGGTTGAGAAACACTGATTTAATTGCTTTAGGAGTTCTTTCATCTGTCGTTTGTTGAAATGGCCACTAGATGGTAGCACATCTCAGGTAAAGTGGGATCTCACAGACGAGCACAAACTCCCGAGGGCCGCTGCAGTTTCTAAGTACTGTATTTCAATACTGTACAGGGAAGATATAGTATGGAACGCAAAAAAAAAAAAAACGTACATAAATAAAATCCTTAAGTGCGTGATGATTATCATGTCGGTTGTTCAGAATAATTGAATCATAAATCTGCCACAACGACATTTTTTGAATGACATTGCTGGAGAAATGTTCAGAAATGATGTTATTGTTGATGGCTATTAATAATATTAGTGTATAGTGGAGCGGCCAAATACTATCAACAGGTCTCAGCATAATGTAGTACACTACAAACTTCAACTACAATAATAAATACATAGATAATTACCGGTAACCTTCTTTGAATCAAAAGTGAACATTTGTTTTGCCTTGTGTGCATCATTTTGGAACAACGACATCTTTTTTTCATAACTATTGATATGGTGTATATGATTGTGGTAATTTGATGTAGTGTCTCATTTTTTATGTTTAACGGTCACATGGCTGTTTTATACTCTGTCCCTTAGTAAGTATTACACGTGCACTGAAGTCGGACTTTTATATTCAGTGCACACATAATTTGATTGCTTTTGTTTGTGCCGTAAACATTCCATTGAATGATTAGTACATAATTCTGTACATGGCTAAAAGAATGCAGTCAAATAAATGATCCGATGTAAAAGTTATAGATAAATATAGTTACACAGATAGTAAGATACACTGAATATTAAATTCATTACACATTTGAGTGCAAATCATTTCCAAAGTTTGGCTTTTTCAGAGTTGTAATTGCTCACAATTATACACAAAGCCAGACATTAATTACCTTTAATGCTCTTTTTTTTTTTTTAAACACGCTACTCATTGCTATTCATTTGATTGATTGGAAAAGTGTCATTGAATACATTTTATCCCGGTAGTCCTTCAATGCCTCTAATTGTATTTTTATATTTAAAATAAGTAAAGATCAGTTTGCCTACTTGAACATTTCATTCGGTGACACATTTGGATCGTCCTGCCTTTATTATCATGCCCTACATTTTCAGCCCGCAATAGTATGATAGTTTGCATTACATCTCTTTTCCTTGAAAAATATTCATTGATCCATAAATCTGCTGATTCCAAGTGAGCAAGAAGCTAAACACACACACACACACACACACACACACAGACACGCTGAGCCATCATGAGTTTAAACCCCAGCCACCTTCTTAAAGTATCATGGCAACTTTTGACAAAATCAGGCCCCACCCAACCCCCCACCCCCACTCCCCGCCTCTTCTCCCCTACTTTTTTCTTTATCTACAAAGCAAGGGGGGGGCGGGGTGGGAGGGGAAGTAATGTGACTAACAGATCTGCAGACCAGTCAAATGGACAATCAAGGGGGGATCAAAGTGTCGATGTGGTCTTAGTTACCACTCCCTCTCATTGAAAGAGAGCCAAATTACGCATGGCGGGCGATACCTTCCCCCCACTTCTTCCCCCTTCCCATCTATGAAAATAGTGAGGATAACAATGGACTTACTGCTGAGGAGGTGTCGACAGCAAACACACGAGCACACACACACACACACACACACAGACACGCTGAGCCATCATGAGTTTAAACCCCAGCCACCTTCTTAAAGTATCATGGCAACTTTTGACACACACACACACACACACACACACACCATCAGTGAAGAAGAGATGTCCTTTTTTTTCCCCCTTTATTTTTTGAGGATGTTTGCAGAGTAGACGATTTGCACCAACTCTGTCAGTGTGTTGAAGGTGGCACATACGGTAGCTTAGTCAGTTCAAGGAAAATGAATACAGGATGGAGATACCAATATCACAATGTATGGTACAGTTTTCTCTCACGATACATTGAGATTTCTCAAACCGTAATACACACATCTCTAGAGCTGTTTGAAAATTTTCTTTGCAAAATGCTGGTGAGCAAATTGCGATGAGATATTAAAGTTGGTGCAGGGTTTTAAAACGTGTGAGGGTGACTTTTTTTTTTCATAGAAGAAGATGTTCTGTGCTTTCAACGTTAATCTAAATACAGGTTTCTCAGCATACACAGTCGGATTTTTTTCCTCCCCAATTTTTTCCAACATGATTTATTTAGTTATTTTGGGGAGCGTGATGCTGGTATTCTAGCTTCCTATTTTCCATGTAATCAATGTTTATTAGCTTTTTGGGAACAATTTTTGGGGTTAAATTGTTATTATTTTTTCCCCCAATGCATTTCTATGAATGCCAATTTTACACTCATTTTGGCTTTTCATGGTCCACGCTGGTTATAATCCCCTGCTTAACTGTACAGCTATAAAGATTGGATTGGTTGAATCTGTGATTTTTTTTTTTTTTTTTAGGAATCGGCTCCAAAATCTGATCGTGTATCTTATTCTGTAATGATGCAGGGATTCACAATCTGTGGTCGTAAGCACCCTGGGGCTACTGTCTGCTTCGTATCTGAGTATGGTACATTTTTCCTTTTGACAAATCTTAGACAAAACTACGTCACATGAGAAAAACGGTAACTACTCGGTAACTGAACATGCCTGCCTACCTGTGCCGTATGACACAGTATTATTACGCCGCTGTGCCTACTAGATCATACATTTGTACCGTCGTAAACCATCGTGTGTATAATTATGTATTGTAGATTGTTTTGTTTAATTGCTCTGCTCTTTGATTTGGGTTATTACATAATCAGTGTGTCATTAAAATTATGCACATCATCACTCTTCTTGTGAGGTACTCTACAATTTTGCTGGTCCTGGTGCTCCTGCAACAGGAAATACGTTCCCCGTCTCCACGTGATGCACATACAGCACCCTCACAACATTACGCCCGCTCGTCATTTGTCGGCAACCGGATGTGACACAAATGACAAATTATTCCCTTATGTTGTTAAAGATTTTCACATTATCGTGGCGTTGTCTTCTATCGATCTGCTTCACGGTGCCGATGAATAATAAGAAGAAGCGACGCGTTCTGATTGCACATATAGATTAGTGCACGCCCCAGCAAGATCATGAGATGAACAGCATATTTTCTTGTAGAACACGCGACGCAACGGCGGCCCGGTTGCCCGGCGGCACCCTCATTTTGCTCTCTATGATTAGAGAGCGGTGTGCAAACTTGTTTACATTTATTTTATTGATGGCAAAGAGAGGGGTGGGGTGGAGGGGGAGTGATTAGCTGAAGGACATCATCAAGTTTACCATAAAAGCTTCCATTAAAAAAAAAAAAAAAAAAGTAATTAGGTTAAAAGCACTTTTTGAAATCCTTCCTAAAAACTTCAACAAGAGTTTGTTGAAAAACAAAGTGAACTGTGTGTTATTTGAAATTCATATTGCTTGATTGTTTCAGTTTGTTTTTGTCCCAAGTATGGAATTGGATGAACATTAATATGCATAATAATCAATTATGGCAACATCTAGCAAACTTTAGTGTTTTCATCACGCCATATTTTCTTCTTTATTGTAATACTTTGATGTTGCTCTGCACAATTATATAATGGCGTTAATACAAAAAATATGTTGGACCACCTTAATATTTAAAAAAAATTAAATGAATCCATCTTAAATGTAATTAATATTAAGTGATTAATGTGATGATGATGATGAAGTTTAAATAAATGAAATATGTAAATCCAAGCGCTTGTTATTGCTATTATTCATAACAAATACATGCACAGTCACAAAACTATTGTGAGAACAAATAAATGGCCAAATTACAGTGATTTTATCGCAAATATGGGTAATTGAATCACACCGTTGACATTGACAACAGTGTGGAAAATGACACGCGGCAAATCTATACGGGAGACAAATGAGATTTATTCATCCACTTCTGTGCAAAAAAATGTATTTCTTTTTGTCTTGGTAAAGTAGTTACACTTTCTGATGCAGCACTCATGCGCTCACACACATGCGCAAACGCGCGCGCACACACACAAAGTGAGGGTCGGGATTAGGATGATTGTCGGCAAACAGCCTGGTGCCCGGGTCACCGGCTGTCCATTTCCTGATGTGTTAATCAGGATTAAAGCCTGCAGTTTGGGCCTTGCAAGCAAACACGCACACCCTCCTGCTTCTACTCCGTCTCCCACACACACACACACACACACACACACACACACACACACACACACACACACACACACACACACACACACACACTTGGTGGCTGTAAAAGCACAAACATCGGCCATGTTTAATCCCCTAATTAAGCGTGCCCCTCCTCACCATTTAACCCCAGAGAGCCTGCTGGCCCGCGCACTCAAAGGCGTTTGGTCACCTCCAGCTGAGGAACCTGCTTTGTTTACCAGTGGATTCCCTTGGCAGATAAGGAAACCTTAATAGCCCCCCCCCTCCCCCACGCCGTCCGCCCCCACCTCAGATGATAAAATCCAATAGAGAAAAAAGGCACCGCGTGGCCTTTGAAGGGGGCGATCACACTCCCTAATCCCCTGGATTAGGGGGGTCTTCCAGAGTTCGCCGCGCTATGTGTATGAATGCAGGGAGGTGGTCGGAATGTGCCCCAAAGGAACATGGAGATGGTGAAGACGGTCACCACAATGAATCACTCGCGTCACTAAAGATGACAGCCAATCTTGAATTAAAATCAATTTAATGTCTTGTTTTAAAAAGTAAATCACACACGTAACAACAAGTTTATAGTGGCTATTCTATGTTACTGGCAGAAATATTTGAGGATTTCTATTAGCACTTAATTTTACAATGATTTGTATGCTTTAAAATGATGAGAAACCCTCTTTAAATTAAAATCGTGTAGACCATTGGCAAAACCATATCCTGGTAGAAAACGTCCTGGATTGGTACCTTTATCTATACTTGCAATAAAGTGTTTTTATTTCCCTTAGCACATGCCCCCCCCCCCCCCCTCTCCAAAATTTAAACAAAAACATTTTCCCCCT